TTAATAATTTATATTAATTAAAATATAATATAAATAAATAAAAAAAGAAAATAAAATAAATAATATATATTAATTAATAATTTTCTTTAAATAATAATAAAATAAAAATTAATAATAACAAAAAGGACAAAAAGACAAAAAAAACACAAAAACTCATAAAAATAATAATTGGAAACCTAATTAGGGGGTGCCCTTAGCAATGAGATGAGGTGCCATTAGCCCACCCCTTTTTTTATTATATAATTAAACTATGGATGGACCGTGAGTGAAAGATTTATGACATGTGGATGAACGTGAAAACTGATGTGACAATGAGAGAAAAACGGTGCATCAAAGTTGAGAGGTTCATGAATGTAAATGCACTTAAGAGTATGGGTACACTCTCCCTCACTTTCTCCATTAACTTTCTTTTTCTTACTATATTTATAAACCTATAAACTAAATCACGAATAATCGCGTGAAAAATGAGAGTTAAAGGTAAGAAAAGATCTGAACCATCGATCATCTTTAATTTTAAACTTATTCATAAATCGTGTTTGATACGAGACTTGATCTGATGCATCTCATCCTAATCTGCATCCAAGAGTCGAGACTCATTCTTACGCTTCTAGCCTTAACTTTTTTTTTTTTTATCAGAATCCAATCCTAAACTAAATAAGGCTAAATCGAATCGATCCATGATCATTATATGGTGCCTCACATTTTTCATTTACTATATAATATTTTTCACACCATCTTTCAAGGAGCCGATGATTTAAATAAAAGAAACCACCATGTGCTACCGATACATTATTTTTTAACTATCAACGTAAATATGCAACAAATTACTAGCATTGGTAAATATATATTTGCTAGCAAATCATGTAAGCTTATCACATATTACATAATCTCTTTCCTCTATTATTTTAGATGCTTTCTATTAACCATTATGTATCAATAAATTGTAATTACCATCACTAAGACATAAATGTCACCTAAACACAGAGAAAACAAGTGAAAGTACTTTTAAGATCAAGAATCAAGTTGTGTAATCAAGTTGTCAGTTTTTTAAATTAAACGTACAAGAATGTTCAGGAGATTGTGTTTGTAACATTTCATCGAACAATAAGAGGATATCATCAAGCTTGGTAATATTATAAGCAATGAGCAACAAATCAAACCATAAACATAGAGGAAATACCAACGAGGAACCAAGACATGCATATTAGCAAATGGGAAAGCACATAAACCTTAAATCAACTATAACGAAAAGGGAAGAAAATCAAGTCAAGAATCCAGAGCAAAGCAGGTCCTGTGTGCAGGTCTAATGAGATATTAGTAAAAAAATATGACGATTGAGAATCGATATATAACAAAATCAAGATTTCAAAGTTGGGCAATGGATTAAATTTATTCAATTTCCAAAGGATCAAAATGCAACAAGAAAATTAGGTCTTTGGACCAAGAATTGACTAGAAACAAGTTGAAGCTCAAGTTGTAGGTATAATTGGTATTTGCTAAGCCAAATGGTGTAGCATCCTACTCGCAACAAACGCAGTCTCCAAGCTTGTTCCTTCCACAACAACCCTTCCTGCAACGACTTGCACCCGGTGTCGGACCACTTGGTCTTGGTCTTGGTCTGGGTCTCGATGATCCACCACTTCCGCCTCCACCACCACACCCAGGTATTTCTCCTTGTATTGGCGAATCGCAATCCGTGGCTGCAATTTATATCAAATTCAAACAATTATTTAGTAGCTCAAACTTTTGTTACTAAAAGACGATGATAACGAATTCTAAATAAAAAAGAAGACATAAGGTTACGTTTGACTGCATTATGCCTAATGTTTCATACTTTAAAAAAAACGTAACCTTACACAGAGACATAAGTGAAAAAGAAAACCCAATAAGCTGTATGATGTAACTTTTCAAAAACTAGCTCGTTATTTACCAAACAGAACCCAAAAAACACGGTTTAAACATTTGATGTTTGAGCAGAAGAAAAAAATGAACCTAGTTTTCGAACACGGTTATATGGGCTTCGGGCGTCAACCGTTGTGACGGTGTACGAAGATGAGCTAACGACGATGATGACGATGAGAGCCAAGGCAAGTCCTGGTTTGGAGATAGAGGCCATTTTTGGAAATGAATATGAGTGAATGAATGTTGTGGTTTCTATTTATAGCATACATTTATTCATAATGAATTGGTGAAAGAGTTGACTAAGTCACTTGTTATCAGGAGGAAATTCAGGATGGGATTGAGAGTGGTTAGGGTTAGCCATCCAAGACAACTTATGTTCACACTTCCTTTTTGAATTTGCATTATTTATATTATTTAAATACCTTTTTAAATTTAAGAGTGATGTTTGATTGGTTTGAGTTTGAACTTCGAAGATCAAAGTGTTAAAAATATCTGGAGGTCTCAGATTTTAAATGCAGTGACTTTGGGCTACATGCAAATCAAAGCAGGTGGGGTCACCTTGAGATTAGTCGGCTCGCATAGCAAACTGGATATTCAGGTCAATCAAAAAAAAAATTAAAACATTGTTGGATAATTATAAATTAGTTTAGTTTTTGAACTTTTCTAAAAATAAAAAAACCCGTTTTTAATGTCACAAGAGTTTCTTGTCACCTTCTTTAAATTATCCTCCTGATTATTACTAATTAATATTGCTTTTTAATTATGAATTAATATTAATTTATTAATTAATAATTTAACTAGATTTGGAAAACTATCTATACTATCTTATAAAGAATTTGGCTAAAACTCTTAAAAACTCTTAAACCCGTTCATCCCTATCCGATTTCATCTCATATCTTAATTCGTGTAACTAACTGCAGATAAACACAATCAAATACAGGATAAACATCTCATTTTAAATATTTAAAATCTAAAATATAATTAGTATAATCATTAAATTCTAACAGAATACTTAATTATTATCATTATAAAATTTATAATATTAAACCAAAAATAAATTGTTTTATTATTAAACTTAAATTAAATTATATAAAAAAATATATATTATCTATACTTTCTTATAAAGCATTTGGCTAAAAC